GGAATGCGGCTTATCTTTTATTAAATAATGAGGCGAGTAATGTATGGAGTTGAACGTTTTATCGCTTATATATAAATAAGTACAAAGCACTTAATGGACTTTCCCGGTCCGCTGCGACGCTTCAGGCTACACTCTAACTTATTGTGTGGCCACGAAACAAGCGTTTGTACTTTTCTGCTCCTCGCCTCCAGTCGTTCTGTAACTTATTGTGTGGCTGCGAAACAAGCGATTCTACTTTGTTGGACTTTTTTCAACCGTTTGCAACCGTTCTGTATGTGTGGCCACGAAATAAGCATTTTGACGGTTTTGACAGTCCAAATCACGCAACTCGCGTACTCTTTAATTACTGACTAAAAGAGCTTTTAGTATATTTTCAAGCTAAAGCTACACAAAATTTAAGTAGATGTTCTAGTTTAACTTATATTATTGAGAATTATTCATTATTATGCATATGTTATTTCTGTCGCTAAATTCGCTAATTTAGTGGCCCCAAAAGCGGAGACAATGCATGGTATGTAAAGAGATTCTTATCATTGTCTATATTTAGCGGAGAATTTAACAGCTTAGAAAATATATTCAAAGGCTTTCACGTGTTACCATGCGATTTAAAGCAATTTAAATTTCAAATTGAATTTTAATCTTTGAATAAACTTGGACAATATATTAAAGTAGATGCGATTATACAGTTAAATACTTAAATACAGAATATGTCTACAGATCCATAATATCTCTTTATCTTTATCACACTCTATGTGAGATAAGTGCATCAAGTTTCACCCTTTTAGGCTGATCTTAATATTCTTCATTTCACTCTCTTACTCAGGTACCTTAACTATTACTGGGCCACTGAATTTATTTTTTATTGTATTATTTTACAGCGTCATCACTATGCGAGGGTGCGCGTGACGCAAGCTGCCCTCGAATTTGTGGTCCGGCACTGCAAGGCGACCCTGTGTGTGCCACTGACGGGTACATCTACCCCTCGCTCTGTGAGATGAGGAAGAAGACTTGCGGGAAAGGTATATTTTATAACTACTCTATCTTGCACAAATAGTGTATAATTATTTGAGTTAGTCTGTTGTTTTAGTTAGTACCCATCTGACAATAGGAGATAAATAAAGCGGTAGACCAGATTCCCAATAACCATAATTAACCTAGATAATATTTTTAAAGTCTTTAAGACAAAATCTTGGCTTATGTGTCTTAATAATGTTTATTTTCCAGGAGTAAAATTGGCCCAGGATTTAGGAGCTTGTTCCAGGGCGCAAGGCTCTAAATGCGAACACAGATGTACTGCGGAAAGAGACCCAGTTTGTGGCACAAACGGACGAACATACCTCAATAGATGCATGTTGCAAGTTGAAATATGCAGGTATGTTTATATATTATACGCAAATAGTTATATATTTATTTCAACATCCTGTAAAACAATTTAATAATATTAGATAATGCATCCTCCCATCTCGGTAGTAATGTAAATATATTTACAATGTTCGTATGTTTGTCTATGTACAGAGTGGGCATCGGTCTGTCACACCTGGGCGCGTGCAACAACATCAGCGCGCACCGCGAGAACTGTCCAGTGGACTGTTCACAGGCGCCACTTGACGGACCCGTCTGCGGCTCTGATGGCAACGTCTACAAGAGCACGTGCCAGATGAAACTGCTCACTTGCGGGTAATTGTTATGTAGCTAATAATTCTGACATTGTCATAACATCAAATAACTAAATTAACACGAAATCACATCATATTATTTGTTTGTAATAGTTTATAATGAGACGTCCATTGTTAGTTTAATATAGCGCCATCTATTGGTATAAATGATGTTATTTGAACTAACATTTTTATAATAGCACCATCTATCGATATTGTTTGTAAGTTTCATTTAAAATTATAAGATAATTTTCATTGTATATGTATTTGTATGTATTTAAATCCTAAATGGATAACGTTTTAGACAAGGTGTGGTGAGAACGAACAAGAAGCATTGTCAAACGACGCGACACTGCCGCGAGTCGTGCTGGCGAGTGGCGCGCCCAACCTGCGGATCTGATGGCAAGTTGTACGCAAACGCTTGTAGGATGAAGGCCACAAACTGCGGGTAAGTGCAGATTATATTTTACTTAACGGCTATAGTTCTGGACGTCTAATGGATTAAGGACACTTCATTTATTTCAGAAAACACGTATTCGAAGTTCCAATGGCATTCTGCGTGTCACAAGAGCGGACATCAGGTGGCGAGTCCTGTCCCACCGACTGTTCTGGACAGAAGGAGAAGTTGGTCTGCGGCTCTGACGAGAACATATACAGGAATGAGTGCGAGATGAAGATGCTTAATTGTGGGTAAGTTCAAGATAAGATGAAAACAAGAAGAATCTTCAGACCCGTCACCAATCTTTGATTACTCTAATATTCGTGCTAGAAAGCATTGTTTTTTAATATGTTTAACATTTCAGTGTCAACAACAGAAAAGTGGTTAAAAAGGTGGACATGGAGAAGTGCAAGTCAAAGATGAACAAATGCCTCAAGGTCAAGTGCCGCGGTGACTTCGACCCTGTGTGCGGCACTGACGCTAATGTATACCCAAACTCCTGCCAGTTGAAGGTTGCTAATTGCCTGTAAGTTCATGCTACTCTAAGCCTCACCATAACTACAAATTATTAATATAATACAATAGAATAATAATTGCAGTTACTTTGGAGTAAAAATGAATAAAGAGTGTCTACTGCATTGAAACTCCTCATAGTATTACTAAACACTAAAATTCTCACTATATGTTCTTGTTAATAATTGCAGTAAGGGCGTGCAACTGGCACATTTCGGTAATTGCACATTACTGCCACGTCTCGAGACCGACTGTCCCGAAAGCTGCGACAACGCGCTCGACCAGCCCGTCTGCGGCTCCGACGGCAACGTCTACAAGTGAGCAATACTTTTACTACTGCACAGGCCTACATTTAGTAGAATCTCTATTTTAGTGATGTAGACCATCGCTGACTATAAATACCTACACACTGGTTACTTTATTGTGAAGGGAATATATAGAAAATTACGCTTTCGACATGTCACTTGCACTTCACATATTGCTGTAGTTGTTGTAAGCTAGTGTCTTGTGTAGGTCTGAATGTGAGCTGCGCAGAGCGACATGCGGCCAGCACGTGGTGGCAGTAGCGCCTGACCATTGCCGCACCACGGCGCTGTGCCACCGGCCCTGTCCCGACACACCCGCCTTTGTCTGCGGCTCCGACAACCGCTTCTACAGGAACGAGTGCATTATGAAGAAGGAAAACTGCGGGTGAGTAGACACAAAACATCATCAAAGATCCTAATTTTTAGTGTCGAAAATAGATATTGGTGATCCTATTTGTAGGAGAACTAATCTTCATTAATGTTTGCAGCAAGCACGTATACGTAGTGCCACTGAAGCGTTGCCTGGCGCGCTTCCAGTACGCAGGCTGCGCTCGCGTCTGCCCGCCTGAGTATGACCCTGTCTGTGGCACTGATGACAAGACTTACTCCAACAAGTGCTTCCTTGAGATGGAGAACTGCCGTTCCAGGTAAAGTACAAAGTCTAGATTACAATCCCTCAACAAAAGAGAATTGGCAAGATCAGTATACGAATAAAACACCCGAGAAATATTTAAAATAGATGGTAGCATGATGATAAAAACCATAAAGAATAATATATTTAAAAAATATTCCCAGTAAGTAATGAAATTTATCTCAATAATTCCAGGAGCGTGGTCCAGCTGAAATATCTTGGCACCTGCACAGAGCCTATCGCTGAAGAGCCCAAAAACTACCTCTACCGATAGATGGCGTTGGTTGTATTAGCTCATTACTAACATCCGTCATATTATAATACCGCTTTCATTGCATATAAACGTAAATAAATAGTCTCATTAAAATTAAATTTAGTGCCAACGATAGATAAAATGCAAAACCATTGTAATATTCGAACTTTGTCTTCCTTTAATTAAGTGTTAAGGGAGTCAGTACAAAATGTAACAAGATGGCGTCGTCAAATAAACGCACGAACAAAATGGCGTCTAAATTATAGTTAAATTAGTTATTAAAATGAAACGAAATAAATGAACATTAAAATTTTAAACTAAGCAATAATGTTTATTTCACTGTCAAATTAATTTAATAAAGATATGTATTCATAAACTTTAAATAGTTTAAACCGAATTTGATGTCAAAAAGCAATTTATTTTCTGTAAACTTTGCTATTTAAAATATCAAGTGACAAGTTCTGTTTAGCTCAATTTTAAAAATTAAGTGATTTAGGTTAAAAAAAATGTAAGTTTGGAATCTTTATTTATTGCTCTATTTATTTCATAATTATATTTTAAGCGAATGTAAATAATTAGGTTCTTTATATTAATTTCCACTATTGTTTTACGAAGGGCATTTTTAATTGAGAATTAACCCGTAAAAGTTATGGTGGAAGTTACTATTTGGTTAAATATTTTAAGGCAATTTGGAACGTATCATATTTAAATGATACCAATTGATAAAAGTATTATCTTGTATTAGATTTTAAAGATTTACTTCGATTACATATAAATTCAAGTAGTAGCTTCGTGTAACTATTAAAACTATTATGTACCAGTTATGTATATCTATGTACTATCGGGGAAACTGGCGGTATTCCACTTTAAAATTAAAAGTCATTTCAACGCTATCTAAGCACTGTGTCGACGCGGAAACAAAAAGCAATAGAACACACACAGCCTTTAAATGTGTACGGAAAAAGGTTGGTTAGTATTACACGACTAATTGCTTCTAATTTGTTACTTTGTAAGAATGGGTGGAATTTGTCTAGGAACAAGGCATTTTTCTGTAAGTGGAACACCGCGAAGAACTCTAACTGTACTGTCAATGCAAATGTTCTACCTATAATAGTTATTCTGTATGTACCGTCTGCAATTTTGATTATAAAATATTATAATAATAATTTATAAGCTCAGTTGTTTTATTTGAATCCAACAAAAATACCGAGAAATCGTAAAATATTTAATCACCGTTAGCTTTAGTAAAAGCCTTTTGATACATTTTTAAAATAGCGCCATCTATTTTTACAAATTGAATTACGAGTGATTTCAATAATATTTCTGAAAAGAAAAATTATTAAATAAATTGAAAGAAATAAATGAAAATTCGTTAATTAAATAAAAAGTTTAAGGTTTTACCTGGAAAATGCGTTGCCACAGAAACAGCATAAAAGTAACTTATTGAAGATTTATTATTGGAAATTCTATTCAAATAAATTTAACATTGTTAAAAAGAACCCAATCCTAAAACATGTGATTGTATCTAAAACACTTAGACAGAACTAAATAAATTAGTTTTGTTTAAGAGTTTTATGGGTGCAGAGGCGCGCTATCAAGTCGATTGGGTAGTGACAGGGCTCGAAATAAACTGACAACTCCTGTACTAAGCGCTCAACGTTCTTCGTAAACGTGTACAAAGTTTCCATTTTCAAAGCTTCATTGTACATTAGAATAAGCACTAAAAATAAGATAAATATTACTAATATTATAAATGCGGAAGCTTAAATGGATGGTTAAATGTTTGTTCTCTGGAACGGCTCAATGAATCTCTATGAAATTTTGAAGGGCTTTGTGTCTACCTTAAGTTAGAGGTGACTAGGCAATATTCAAACATATCCCACACACATATCTGTGAATTTCTTCTCAGACATGTGCTGCTTGCATAAAGATGTTTTCATTAACCGTAAGAGTGTCGGACGAGATGGTAATGCGATAGAGCGGTCGTCTATATGGCGTCTGGTTATAATGATGTCTCGATATTATTGATTTATATGAATTTTAAATGTAAGAATGTAAATTGTTAACGCTTACCAACTTCAAAGAAAAAGGCTAATATCCATAGTAACCAAATCATTCTTATAAGTCTCCTAAAATGATAAAAACATAATGTGAAATCCTCAACAATATTTATTTGCACTTGTTAAGCTAAGTTATTATTTGGTAGCTATTTTAAGGATATAACGAAAACGAGTAAAAGGAATTGAAAGAGTAAAGAGCGTCCAGAGCCTCACTCGTCGGCAGCTCAACAGTGAGGTAATGGTTTTTCACAAGTCGGGTAGTTCCGGCAATGTTTGCGAAATACCACTGTTAAGGTACGCGTCCATTAGACTGCACCGGGCGCACTGAATAAACGGATTTGCTTTATCTTTCGATGAGAGTGACGTGGATGATGGACGCAGCGTATTTTTAAATCATACAAACAAAACTAAAAACCGGCTGTGGGCCGTACGTGCGGTACGTTCGGCGGGGGCCAATGGACGTGTACCTTAAACGTTTTTTAACTTACTTGTCTATCACCGCGGTATGTTTGAGGCTTGGTTTATTGACTAAATATACTAATTTGCTTTAGTAACATAGTTTCATTGTTAGTCTAGACATCGTTTATATTCGTTGTAATTTTTGTGACCTATTATTTTAAACTTTTGTCACGTCATTTTGATATTCAATGCGTCATTTTGACGCTGTCAATATGAATTTTAAAATAAAAACTCGTTTATAGTTAAACAAAGATATCTGAAAATGAGAGAGGCGATCCTGATATGGTTAGTTCTATCAGAACATATATAAAACCTACATAGATACAGAAAATTATTATACATAAAAGAAAAAAAATGTCATTAAAGCTCCTAAAAAATTAAGTCTTGGAAGTGATGGGAAGTTGAATTGATTGAAGAGAGGATGCATCTCCATTCTATGCGTCCCTCCTCCTTTGTAAAGGTTAGCAACGCATTTGCAATTATGCATGTCTATAGGTAACGGTCTCTTCGCTATTTCTACAAATTCTGGTGGCCGCTTGCTCGTTTATGATATAAAAAAGTATTGGTTAAAAGTCTTAATGTAAATATACATATATTAATGTATATAAAAATTATTATTTAATAACTATTTACATAATAGTTTCATTATATAAATTGTCGTTAAATATACATTCTGTTATCGTGATAGCAAAGCTTAATTAACTCTAAGATAAACGTAATTAAACATATACGCTATAAATTACTGATATAGTTTTATGTATGTACATAAGCATATCTGAAATATATAGACAACTTATATAATAAAGCGTCTTTATTGCTAAACAGAAGCTAAACAGGATGATCTATAATGTTTTGGATATTTGATCATAATTTATAACTAAATATTTATAACGAAATATTTCGTTTACTATTTTACAAACAGTTTTTTTTGTGGTACCTATTAATACTAAGAACGTCGGTGGCTCCGGGGTTTCAAAACTTGATTTATAATCTGTAGGTCCTGCGTTCGAATCCCGCCATGTACCAATGTGTTTTTCGATTTCCGAGTTACATATGTACATTTATCCGACGTTCTTAGGATGAAGGACAACATAGTGATGCATCCTGCACATATCTGAGAAGAAATTCAGAGATATGTGTGAAATCAACCAACCCGCATTGGGCCAACGTGTTTGACTATGACCTTGTCACCGCTAACTTAGGGTAGGCTGCGAGCTCCTCGGTGGGGACGCATAGTGAGCTGATGATAATTGATTAATATTACTAAAAAAAATCCTCAATAATGTAGTCCGGCCTTTCTACCCAATCGTCCAAACTGGCTGGTCTGTCCGGCTATTTGTTGACCTAGCAACTCTAAATGCAAGTATAATAGTCATCTCTTGTCTCTTATCGTTTAGTTAAAGTTTAGTAATTTTTATCTAACGGTATTTTATTTGTTCAAATATTAAACAAATAAAGTAGAAGACATTTCAAGATTAAATATGTTAATTGCAACTTTACTAAACGTACTCGTAGGTAGCGAATGTCTTTTTTATTGTTCCAGACATTTTATAATATTTACATAATATTAAGTTATTAATTATAATATTAAATGGCGTCGTAATCACGTTGTACTTTTATACAAATACAATTTAAAACAATAGTAAAAAATTCCATATTCAAATATTTTAGGGTTACTTTTTAGAACCACGTGGATAGACGTTGAGACCTAAGCTTTGTGAAAGCGAAATATTAAATTGAATCTCATTGATGCATTCTAAAGAAGGTGTACGCGTATTGATTCTTATATAAACTTAGTACACAATGCAAGAATCGAATTTCTATGTACTAACTATATACGTATCTGTTACGTATTTACGTGGCACTTTTCAGATAGTTTTAAATTATAATATTCTCAAATATGATATCTATATTAATCTTACTATTATTATAAACGCGAAAGATTTGTATGGATGTTTGTTAAAAATATTTCCGGAAAGGCTCAACGGATCTCGCTGTAATTTGGCTCACATGTACAACATAGTCTGAAAGAACGCATAGACTACTTATTTTTTTTTCGCGCTAACGGAGTCGCTGGTGACAGCTTGTAATATAATAAAGAAGATAATTTGTATTTAGTATTTCTGTAACGATTAAACTCAAAAACTACTAGACTAATTATAAATTCACTTACCAATAAATTGCTAGATTATCCCTAAGTAACAATATTATATTTAATATTATTATAAATAAAAAAATCCTAACGTTCAAAGTCGAAACGTTTATATATTATTGGCCGATATTAGCACCATAAAAAATGGCAAAAAAAACTAAAAGTGGAACGGATCCCTGTATGAAAATGTTACCAAACGAGCTTAACAAGACGAGTTGAACGACGCACGACGCACGTCAGTGTGGACGCGCCCTAATGTATAGACACACTCGAATAAACAAAAGCATATCGTGGGGAAATAAATGATTCAGTGCGCGAAAGATACTCAGGCAGTATTGACTAGATTTAAGATTTTTTTTAAATTAAGAATATGGTATTTTAAAGTGTTTGGTCTATATATATTAGTGAATCAAGTGAAATGAAGAAGTTCCATACATTATTACCTGAAGGAAGTAAATTTAATCAGATTTTATGTGCAATTTTAAGTGAGTACATTTTTAATGTCTTTTTTAAATTTAAACCGTCGTAAATGTTATAGTTTTTTAGGTTAATGTATAATTTCTATGCTCCTTTGAATGTCAATTGGTTTTAAGCAAATTTTATTTGCAAATTTTTCTATGACCTCAGTTCTGTTTCAGGGTTTTTTGGAAATATATTTGGCTTATGGAAATATATTCATAGAATTAGGATTTATAAAATCTTGAAAAAAAAATGTTGACGTTTCATCTGATTAATACTGAAACAGTAAATTGTACAATGTAGTTCAGAAAAATGTGTAAAAAAGAATTTCAGAATTTAGTAAACATCTGAAAGTTTGATGTCCACAATACATAGGATATTCTTTTGTTAAACTCTTTTGTTTATTTTCCAAAATGTATGCCTTTCTTATTTCTACGAGTTTATCATGTTTACTGCTTTCTAACCTAACATTGTAAGTTAAGTCACTTAGAAAAAAAACAATCGCTTGTTCGAATAATGACCTATATTTTGTTAGTAGTAGTTGTAGATGTATTAAGCTAGTTTATTCAGAATGAATAATTTCACATTTATTCTAAATCTATTTAATATAGTTCATGTCACCCGCGGATAGTCAGTCATCAGCTTTTCAACAGTCAAAGAATTTTTCAAATCGCTTCAGTAATTAAGGAGCTAATTCAATGTAAAGAAACAAATAAATTTTGCCTGTTTATAATCTTATATATAAAATTCTCGTGTCACAATTGTCCTTCTCATACTCCTCCGAAACGTCTTGACCGATTCTCATGAAATTTTGTGAGCATATCGAGTAGATCTGAGAATCGGCCAACATCTATTTTTAATCCCGCGCGGACGGAGTCGCGGGCGACAGCTAGTATTAATATAGATTAGAGGTCAGATCCCGCTTTGCTGAAATGTCCTGAAATTCACAAGGGTTGATATTTTATTATTTACATAGTATATTATTATATATTATATTTATGACATTTTAATATGTTAAAAAGTTGTTAAGTTGCTTTGAAACGTAGATATGGACGACATTGTATATATACATCTTATATAAAATTCAACACATGTTTGTTACAATGTTAGTTGTCATACTCTTCCGAAACGGCTTGACCGATTTTTATGAAATTTTATATACATGTTCAATAGGCTTGTATATCAGTTAATACCTATTTTTTAATCCCGCGCAGTCGGACGGAGAAGCGCGTCACAGCTAGTATATTACTAAATCTATAAAATCTAAGATAACTAAATCATAGTAAATGATCCGTCAAGAACTACGTTAAGTTGGCTTTGCTTCTTTGAAACCTTTATTGTTCAATTCTTATTGTTCTTTGACTTCTACAAATTGATGAGAACGCGTTAAATCATTCAATTGTTTTACGTCCCTAACTATTAAAATTGATTGCCGATTGGTGACGTCGGAGACAGTTTACAAATCGCTGCGTAGATTTATAAAGTTTTGTACTATGAAATACGCAAATAAGTTTAATACGTCCTTGAACCGTAATTTTTTATTCGAATTTTAGTCAAATCATTACATCTATCCGACGTCAGTGGGACAGGTTTAGTGATGCGTAGAGTTGATATTTATCTAGCATTCTCTTACATTTGATAAGCTGTAGCCCGCGACATTTTGCACGTGGAATTGAACATTATAATAGGTCTCTAGCTCTTCGACAAAGTCACGGGCAACTGTTAGTTTGTCATAAATCGTTTACTCTACAGTTAAAGCGTCGGTGACTCACGGGTTAAATAATTGACTTGTAATCTCCAAGTCCTGGGTTAAAATCACATTATGCACCAATGTGTTTACAATACATATGTAGATCCGAAGATTTAACAGTGAAGGAAAACATCGTTATGCCTGCACATAAATGCGAAGAAATTCAAAGATATGTGTAAAGTCAACCCGCACTGGGCCAGTGTAGTTGACTATGACCTAGTCAACCCTAACTTAGGGTAGGCCCGGAGTCCCTCAGTAGGGACCTGATGAATATAGGAAGCTGATGAAATCTTCAATACAAGGAGTTTAACTAATATTGTTTTGTTTGCAGTAAATTTCCCTGTGTTCGTGTACGGGGCGAGCATCGGCTGGATGTCACCGATGACGTTACTCCTGCAGTCCAAAGACTCACCCAAAGGCGTGCCTCTTACTGAATCAGAAGTGCGTATGTCCAACGGTTTTAATAAATCAATACAATTAAGGGCAAGGAACAAATTAGTGAATGAATAACACCTATAAAACTTGGCTAAAATGCAACATAAATCAAATGGTAATCCAAAACTTGATACGGCTAGTGTACAAATCTAGTTCGACATATTCAAATTTCGAATAGTGATGCTATCTTGTGACATAAGGCATAACCAGAAATATTTGTTAACCTAATTTTATTTCTCGTTTTGCTAATTATAATATTTTATACAGGTATCATGGATGGCCGCTGCTGCGTATTTAGTTTGCATTCCGGCAGATGTGCTGCTCGCGTACGCTGGAGATAAATTAGGAAGAAAATTATTAATATTATTTATATCAGGAGTCAGCGCTGTAAGTATTCAAAACTAACCATAGTAGAAAATGTGATATATTTTAAAATCACTTGAAGGAAACCTGATAATAAAGAAATTCAGACATTCCGACTACAAGTGTTGTTAACCAAAACAATGAACCAGCGTGGTCGACTAAAGCCTATTCGCTCATAAAATAAAGTAGTTTTTGTGCCTTATTTTTGGGGATGCAATAGCTTAGCTTAGCAAGAGCTAATAACGAAAGTATCAAAAATGCAAATAGCAATAGCAAATTTAGTTGAATAAATTTCCTTAAGGTCTCAGATGCTTTTATAAGGAATCCCGATTTAAACCAGTTTGAGAAAGTGAAAAAGGAATAAAACTTAATTCCTCCTTTGCTTTATTAATACAATGATTTTGTATTCTTTTTCACATTTACTTATGTCTGTTTCAGGCAAGTTGGATTCTTTTGCTGGTGTCTATAGAAACATGGGCTCTGGTTCTATCAAGGGCGTTAGTTGGCATTACGATGGCTGGATCATACGTAACTTGTCCGATTTATACGAAGGAGATTAGTGAGAACCATATAAGAGGAACATTAGGCTGCTTAGTAAGTGACAACATTAAATAATACTCCTAATAAAAAAAATACAAGCGCGGAACATTTGTTTCGCTTGGCACGAGACTGGCAAAAGTTCACTGAACTGATGGCCAACCTGGAGAGGCATCTAGAGAAAGAGAGAGAAAGTTTTTTTTTAAATCCTTCAAATGCACACATAGTTTACTTACGTATTTGTATAGACAAAGAACGTGGTTCACGTGACTTGTGTTATCAGTACATGTAAAACGTGACTGAGAAAAGTAGTTCGTAAAAATCGTTGTTAATGACCTTAACATTCTTTCGGATGTATTATATCTTAGTTGTCCTATTTCTATGGTACGGTTAGAAAATTTATGATCTGTGGAACAGTTCACGGTTTACATGTGTGAAACAGATCAGTGAACCGGATCACAAATCTGCTCAATTTATGCGTAGAATTATGATTTGACTTTCGAGCTATGAACTCCTAGTCACAAGGCAGCTCACAGCTCATCGACTCACATAGGTATAGTACATCGCGATGAGCTGCTGATTTAGTTGTTGAATCGCCATCTCAACGGCACAATTTTATGTGAGCTGAACTTTTAAACCGGTTCAGAGCTTATTTAGACATATCTATATTTTTGAATAAGTTCTTGACTATAACTATTGATGAGGAAAACAAAAACCTGTTGTGTCTTGTACAAGTTACTATGTTACTAAAATATGCAAGACAATGTCTTTGCGTTCGTTAATTGTAGTTTATTTCAGGTAATATTATTCCACACGACCGGCAATCTGTTTCTTTACGTGATCGGGGATATACTGAGCTACCGAACCATCCTGTGGGTCTGTCTCGCGTTACCCGCTTTTCACATCGTCCTCTTCATGGTGATGCCGGAGTCACCTTCTTATTTGGTCAAGAAAGGTAATGATGAGGTAAATGTCACTTAATCCAATTGAAATAATTTTCATATAGCTTCAGATGTTTTTGAGTTTATCGTAAAATCTGAAACAAGCCAGTAATTTAATTTCTCACTAAAAACCAAAAAGTTTTAATGGCTGTAAATGAGATTAGAAGAAACCAAAGGTGACTTGCAAATAAAACATAACCTGCAAGACTCTATGTACGTTATTTTCAGGAAGCAGTGAGAGTTCTCGCTTGGTTGCGATGCAGAAGAGTAGACGATGTCAAAATACAAGAAGAATTAGATGTTATTAAGATAGAACAGAAGAATGATGAAGAAAGCAGCAAGTTTTTACTAAAAGCTATATGTAAGTACTAACTGTCCGTCTGCGTGGAATTAAAAAGTGACTAGCCTATGTTTTCTTCCAGACGTTCTACGATTCAGCAAGATCCTGGAGATCTACTAACAAACATCCATCCATCCAAACGTTCACATTTATAATATTAGTAAGAAGTAAGATATAATTGAGAATAAAATTAATTTTGTCTTATTTAGTAAAAATCGCGTTAAATATAATATAAAACCAGATAAGATACCAAGAAGTATCAAAATGCTATTTATCGTCACCATGTTAAACCAAATATGGATTTACTAACGAATATTTGACACAAATGCGATAAACGAGTTTAGGAAGAGGGAACACAATTTTTTATTTATTCTGTGGTAACACGGAATAATTATGATGTCGTAGAATTCCGACATCACAAAAACGTTTAGGATTTGCCCAAAGTGACGTAATGCTGTTAGACGCTAGAGATGTGCAACAACAAACTATACAGCTGACGTTATTATTTACTTTATTTAAAGGCCTCATTAATTTAATCCTCTTTTCCTTATCTAGTATGGAAAGGGTAGGAAGGGAATGGGTATTTGACGGAGCAGGTGATGCATAGGAATGGGTATTATTGTCCCTGTGCGTCCCTGCTCTGTCGATTGCGGTTGTCTATGGGCAGCAGTCGCTTCGCTATTTCGTCAGATACCGCTGGTCGTTTGCTCGTCAGCCCCATTTCGCGTTTATAAAATTAAGTAAGACTTCGCCGACTTTCTTTATTTTGGAAGGTCTAAATAGGTTTGATCTAATTTGCCACAGTATCTTCACGTAATGAGCCGTAACATGTAACTCTACGTATGTAGATTTTTACACAATCTTATAAGGAGAACTGTAATTTCTGATAAATGACGATTTTGTATACTTCTTTAGTTTATATGTCAACATTTCGTAATATTTATGTTTAGCATCAATTTGTTCGATGGCCGTGCGAATTATTTTGCCCACAGATAAGATCTATTAGACGAAAACCGGTAGATAACGGCAAACAGGTCGATAAACAGGTTTCATTTCCGAAACATCATATCAAAACCAAATCTAAGTCTTTACAATAAGGGATCAGAGAGATGTCTTTAAATAAATGTTTCAATGTAACTTAAACCTAAGATGAGGATATCTTTCATTGATTCGTTATCGTAGTTGTTTTTATATCGCGCAGACGGAGTCGCGGGCGATTGCTAGTAATGTATAAATATTCCACTGTTAATCGGGAATGGCGACATGAGGCTTGATAGCGCAAAAAACCCATAGATATTAAGAACAGTTACTGCGATACATCAACAAGAGACGCGGCCACGAACTTGAGGTCAACGAGATGTATTACTCTGCGCCCAATTCTTTCATTGTTCATTAAGGTATCTGCCCACTAGCGATGTTATACAAATTCATTATTAAGTATCTACTAGCTGTCACCCACGGCTCCGTCCGCGTGGAAAAAAAAAAACAGTAGCTTCTACATATGCCAAATTTCGCCAAGATTAATACAGGCGTTCTGGAGATACCTTCAAACAAACTACAATCTATCCAAACATTCGCATTTATGATTATAAAATCAAAAGCCTAGTACATACTAAGAATAATTTAATCGTCCCTTAGTACTAAGCATCAATTAAAAGATTCTGAATAGTATTTAGTATCTTCTGTAAATTGTGTTGATGCGGTCAGTGTATACGAGCCTTTACTTTATCGAAGTTATTAGAGGCATGTGTTTGACATTCTTTAACTGTACATACGTCTACGAATCATTACAAATGATACGTTCCGGATCCTCAGTACGGTATGATTACTGATGTCACCAACTCAACCTTCTACTCTATTAAGAACATTGTTAAGAGATGCGCAAACAGTTGCGCAAAATATTGATTTAAATTGCGCAATTGGAATATAAGTATTGCAAAAAAAAACTCAATAAAAACAAAAACAAGTTATGTTTTGATTGAAAATGAAGATCGCCGAATGAGAATTAATTTAAAAATATTGAAGAATTGAATCGAGTAATTTACTCCTCTATCCCTTCCTACCCTTTCTTATAAGAAAAGGATGTAAAAAGGGAGTGGGTTTGACGACTCCGTCCCTCTGCGTCATCCTCCAATTAACCTATTTTTTTAATTCTTTTTCAGTCAAAGACAAGATATTATTCCGGGCCTTCCGTATAGCTTTGGTTGCGACCTTAGCTAGGGAGGTGTGTGGCGCCATCCCAGTGTTAAACTTTGCCGGAGAGATATTTACGTGGGCGTCTGAGGGGAAGGCGCTGATCCTAACACCTAATCAACAGGCTATGCTGCTAGGCCTAGTCCAAGTGCTAGGCTCTGCACTGGCATCCAGCATTGTCGACAGAATTGGAAGAAGGGTAAATAAACAACTAGTTTATATTATAGACCAATCGATAAACACGGAAAGAGTAATGTTATGAAAGAATATGTCTATCCATCTAACAGATATTTAGTTCCCGGCTCCGGCTCATAGTATCAAAAACGATGTAATCCAAACACAATTATTTTATTCCAGACACTTCTGACATCGACAGCTTTGATATCAGGCTTAAGTATGTGCTCTTTGGCTTCGTGGTTCGTGGCGAAACACTACGGCGCCTACACACCAGCCTGGCTGCCTATCGTAACTCTTTGTCTATGCATCTTCTGTGACTCAGCCGGTTTGCAGCCGGTTTCAGTGGTTCTTACGGGAGAAATATTTTCATTTAAGGTACATATACCTTACATTTTATGGAGCAAATCTTAAACAATATCTGAGTTGCATACAAAAACTGGAAGAGTTAGATGACTTTGTCCTACCTGATATTAAATGATCTTGTAATCATAATTATCTTGAAGTCCCCGGTATTTCAGACCAAAGTACACTAAGGGACTTTTTAAAATGACCCTGAGTGTGAATTTCAGAGTTTATATAACTAAGTGTTGTTTTTAATTTCAGTACCGAGCATCAGTAATGGGTATGACGATGGGTCTAGCATCTTTTGCTGACTTCATCCAGATGTTATTCTTCAAGCCACTTGCCAACTCCATTGGTATCCACGTCGCCTTTTACTTCTTCGGTGGTATATGCCTTGTGACAGCGTTGTACGTGACCCTCGCTGTACCGGAGACTAAGAACAGGTCCCTGACCGAAATCTACGAAGATCTGAGACCAAAGTCAGATAAAGATTCGATCAAAAGTAAATATGATGAAGATAAATATGTGGGTAGTTTTAGAAGTATAAATATTACTTGAAATGCCAAAAGTGATTTTTATAGTTATTTAATTTTGTACATATATTAAAATATTTTATAATCTGTATTAATGAAATAAAGATCTATTGTAAATATTTATTATTGTTGTTTTTTTTTTTCAAATACTTAGTAGAATAAATTATTATCTTACTTTAAATTTATAAATTCGAAGTGATCCTGCCGAAACAATATTTGTTCGGTGCACAAATGGGTCTGACTGTTACAAGTAATTCTGCAAACAGTCGGATTAGTGTGCTTGCCGTAAAACCATTAGGGATACAGTCTGGAATAGCGCAAAGGCTACAGTCTAAGTTTTTTTATAATTCCGCGCGGGCAAAAGCTAACTGAAGATATATTCTCAAGGTGTGCCCTCAGTTGCATTAAATTTTCTACAGATTAATGTAGCAACGGTGGCTCAAGCACTTGACTTGTAATCTGCAGGTCCTGGGTTCGAATCCCGCCATGTACCAATGTGTTTTTCGATTTCCGATTTACATATGTACATTTATCCGACGTTCTTACGGTGAAGGAAAACATCGTGATGCAACCTGCTCATATCTGAGAAGAAATTCAAAGATATGTGTGAAGTCAACCAACCCGCACTTGGCCAGCGTGGGTGAATATGGCCTAATCACCCTTAACTTAGGGCAGGCTCCGAGCCCCACGGTGGGGACTTACAGCGAGCTGATGATGAATGTAGTGACTAAATTCCTACGCAGCTTACTTAGATAGCTTTAAAGCTAAACTAACTTCGTTAACCTTTTGAACGTCAAGTTGACACAACGCGATAACACGATGCGAATCTTACCAATATAAACTCGAAAGCTTGGATGGATGGATATTATCACGTAACTATGAAAAATCTGAACGGATATCTGTGAAGAACACATTGATAAATGTAGAACACAGTCTAGAAGAACACATAGGGTACATAATAAGTATTTTCACTTTAATTCCTCGCAGACGAACTCGCGTGAAAAAACTAATTAACATAGTAAATAAAACAGCATGGCAACACATCAAATTAGTTATTAACATTATCTATAATATATTATAGTACAATAAAAAAACTCCGCAAACATCAATTTTATAACAGTTACGATAGACTTAGTAAATTCATGGTTTGTTTGCGAATGTAATACTAAAATAAATATATTATTAAATAAACGCGTCTATTTTAAACTGTAATTAAACGATTAAGCGTAAGACATTACGTGAATTAGAATTGAAGATAAATATTATGATACCCTTATAATAAAAACCGCGGATTGTGAGAAAGTTCCTTTCTTTGCACCCGTAAAAATCATAAGATTCTGCAGCTGGTGATGGGCTACTTTTTATACAATCATCAGCAGGTATTCAAATGAAAAACTAGGATGACAGTCTAAATTTGGTAATGACACATCCTAGATAGTCAGAGAAGTTAAATGATTATTAAATGTTATCCTTAGTGTAGATTTACTAAGGGTTTGCTTAACAAAACAATTCGATATAAATACATTCGATACATTCGATCATTAATAACGAAGTATTCTATCAGGTGAAATTGTATAAGATTAAACTTCAAACACTTTAACAACGAGTATTGTAAAAAACGCAATCTTGCTAAGCGCAGTGGCAATGATTTACGATTTAATTAGTTTGCATTAAGATTCTGAGATAAGTCTTTGAACGTGTGACTGTACAGAGATCAAGGACTAGGTTAACAAATCAAAGTTAAACGGTTAACAAAGGTCAAGATTAATAACCTTAATAAGGCTTAAAGTCTCAATTCTTCTCAGATAAATAGTCTTCTCTTTCATTGTCATTGAAAAAACTGAAATAACTTTGGTTTGTACGTTTCTGTTTTCAATGAATTTACATGGTAAAAATTACGTTAAAGCGTCGGTGGCTCAGGAGTTAAGCCTTTGACTTGTAATCTGCAGAGTTCGAATCTCGTCGTGTACCAATGCGTTTCTCGATTTACATATGTACATTTATCCAACGTTCTTGCGGTGAAGGAAAACATCGTGATGCTGCACATATCTGAGAAGACCAAAGATGTGTGAAATCAACCCTTACTTGGCCAGCGTGGTTGACTATGGCCTAGTCACCTCTAACTTAGGATATCGGAGCCCCTCAGTGGGGACGTATACTGAGCTGATGTATAAAATCACTCTATTAAACATGTCTAAAAATGTTAAATATTTGTATGATATCTGTGGTCATTCACACATAGACGAAATATATTTCTTTGAGTTTACTTATGGAAACTTTAATATTAATAATCCTACCTAACCTTTTATTATAATACGCTTTGAACATTACAAATGAATTTCTTATAAATATTATACTATTCATCTACTAAATTAGGCAACTATTACTCTACAATAAAGTATATTAAAAACGTGCATATTTTATGTCCAATTTTAGTTCAGTTATGACAACAAATTCAAACACAAACCATTGTAAGCACAAACAAGTGACAATGTCTAAACTAGAAAATGTGCTAGAAATTAAATTTCTATCCATGATAAAACCTTTACATTACATCAGTTGTATATTTTTCTTAAGAAAATTTAATATAATCGATAACAAAATCTATCCTAATGCAAGGAAATATGTCTCATGTTTAGGAATAGGAATGTTTTTAACAAACTTTTTATTAATAACATGTTTAATATCTTTAATTAATATATACGATGCATCTATTTTCTATGTATATGTTTTAGCATATTCACAATATTCTATTAATTATTCTATTTTATGTTTCTCTAATATAATATATAGTAAATTCAATATTCAACTTTTGTTAAAACTTCAAGCCATCGATCGATATCTCTACAATGCTAAAGATACTATAAAAATTAAATTTGTAGTTTGGTTTGCTTGCATTTTATTAATATTTACATATATATTATTTGTTACATTCAAACTAATGTTTGATCCATTATGGGATTGGATAAGAGGATTATTTATAGTAATATCGTTAATTTTTGATATTGAATTAATTTATTGTATATTCTTTGTTTATTATTTAGCATGTAAAATGGTGAGGTGGTCAGAAATTATACAAGTAGATGAAAAGAACCCTAATGTGTTACAAGATGATATTGGTATAACGCTAGTGGAAATGCTCTTTAAAGTTTACGAACAGTTATTAGATGCGCTTGTATTGGTTAAAAAAGCGGCACAATTTGCGGTTAGAATATTGTTTGTTTTCTATGTCTTTTTTAACAGACTTCAAAAAGGAGGTTCTCATTTTATCTGTATGTTTTTCTTTTCGATAACTCCGTCCCTAGTTCAACGTACCGAGAGTCAATAACACGTTCCCATAAACGCACAGATATATATATATATATATATATATATATTATATCATAAGGTGGCAAACGAGCGAGCGGCCACCTGAAATCGCTGAAATAGCGAAGTGACCGTTGCCCATAGACACACGCAATTGCATATGCGTTGCCTACCTTTAATCTACGGAGGAAACGATGCACAGAAAGAAAATGTTTTCCCTTTCCATGCATCCTCTTATCCGGAAAGTCCACTTCCACTTCCCATCCTATCCTTATAAGAAAAAGGGTGGGAAGGGAAAGAGGACTAAATTAGGCCTCCGGGACGCACACTCATCAGACGAAACGCGGAATTGCTTCCACTTCACACCTGTCTTCTGTGTGGTCGTGTTATTTCACCGGGCGAGCCGGGACAATTCGTGCGAAGATGTTAAAGCGGGCTCTACCACTGTTAATATTTTGTTAAGTATTTGATTTTATGTTTAGTTTAATATATTAGTTATATTATAATTTTCAGATATTACTACATTTCGTAATCATGTTTATACAATCAATAACATACATTGAAATATTAATTTTGATGACACAAACTCAAAAGGTAAGAAACTTTCTAAATCATCATTACGATTAATCGCCTACTCTCAAGTCAACGAAGTGTTGCCACCGTAATTACTGTTACTTGTTACTAATATTATAAATGCCAAAGTTTAGATGGATGGATGTTTGTTACAAAAGTGTTCAACTGATCTCTATGAAATTTTACACAGATATAGAAGATAGTCTGAAGGAACACATAGGCTACTAGTTAAGTTTTTTTTAAATCACACTTAGACGTAGTCACCGGCTACAGCTCGTCTTCCATACATCTTTTGTTAGAGGAGTGTCAGGACCGCGCCAAATTGTGGTCCGTGGTCTCTGCCTACTCCTCTGGGTTAAGGGCGTGATTATGTTGTTGTTTCAGTTACAAGAAGTGTCTATAAAGAGCCACGGCTACGGTGTTATACTTTGGACGTCTAAAGCAGTGGTGACAGAAACTACATTCTGTTTTATTTGTGAAATATTATACAGAAGAATTATATCAGCTCAGATAGTCGTCATTTCCTATATGAATTTTTATACATGCCGTAAGTCAAGTAACTTTAAAGAACATTTTTAATATCGTATGATTTTTTCAAGACTGTCTTCTACGTTCTTACCAAATTTTATCAAGATCCATTGAGCCGTTATAGAGATATATTCTAAAAACATCAAAAAACTTAATAAGTAGACTATGTGTAAACATTTGCTCTACACCAGTGCCAAATTTTATCAAAATCCATGCAGCCGTTCTGGTGTTACCTTCCAATAAACATCCATCCAACTAAACATTTGCCTTTGTAATACTTATTAGTATTATAATTCTGATTAATTGCAGTCAAATTTTCAGGTAGATCTCGTAGATTGTTCAAGAACATACGTCGTTTGAATCGCATAAAGTTCTCCAAGATGAGTATCTGCGGTATATTTGTTGTGGATGCAGCGTTGCCGCTCCGCCTGGCTGCCCTCCTCACTGACTACACGGTCATATTACTACAGTTTGCATTTTTAAGGAATTAGAAACCTAAGAAACGTTCTATCTCATACTTTACCATATGATGAAAAAAGTTACATCTGTAAAAAGTAATAGATGTAACCATTTTCGTTCGCTAGGTCGAGTTTTATACCATATATGTTGACTTCGTATTTAGGTTCCTTTTTAACGCCATCTATGTGTCTAGGAA